TCTCGGTATATTGCGCCTTTGACTTTGGCGACGGATGACGGTAACATAAACTAACATCATCACACACAATATCATCAAAAATCATGATAGTACAGCACCTATAGGTAGATTATTTTGGCTTACAAATCTAAACGCTGCACAATGGCGTCACAATTATTCGAATCCTTCGAAACTAGAATCCGAGTCAGAATCTCCAAACAGTTTCTGCTACTGGTTGTTTGTCATTGGGACCTCAGGGCGAATATCATCTTCTACAACCTCACTGCTCCCTCGATGTCGTATTCCTCAAAAATGGCATTGTCCTCACTTCTTTCCATATCATTATTGATGCACCACTTTTGAATGATGGTACGTTGATTTCCGATGGAATATCGGGCCACGATTCTTTCACCCACTTTGCAATTGTAACATTGTCAGTCTTTTTCACATTGCCACCATTCGTTAACACTAAATCAAACGATGCCATCCATACAATCCACCTGACCCGAAGCCTATCGTTAAGGCACTTAGTGTGACAGACGTCCAGTGGATGCTAGATTGATGTAAGTCCACTTGTAATTAAAGCCACGGCCGAGTTTAGTTCACGGCACTGTTTCTCCAATTTCTCAGTTCGGTGTTCCCTAAAGGAATCCAAAATAGCATGGATGATTTGTTTAAAAGGGCACGGCTTGGCTTTCCCCAAACTGCATTCAGCCAGTCTATAGTGCCGCTCTCGTCCATTCATCCTTTCGCTTGAGCCAGCACGAACACGCAGCTTGGGAACTTCCCCCCATTAGGCAGCGTCATATGTTTAAAAATAATGAAACGTGATAGACGGCAGCCATTTGCCATACACTCTAAAACTACTGTGAACCGTGTCTTCTCGTGGTGCATCATCTTTACAAAAGTGTGTTAATACCTTTCTGCTCCACCGTGCAATTTGAAGGCGTATCAAAGCACAATAGTGTCTGGTCCATACTTCGTATTTGGACGGTGCAAAGTCCTATTGCTTTCTCAGCTGAATCACGAGCCTTTAAAAAGATACAACCTTACTGCCCAATTCCTTTGATGGTTCCTGTGATATTTTGTGCCTGTCCGTAGACACATGTCGAGTCGGTTCATAAAACGATTGCCCCTTCCGGAGCAAGCAACAAAATTCACCGGTTTTGATGGCTGGAATTCCGGAATTTTTAACATTGTGAACGCCCTGATCTGAATGTTCAATCGGGTAACAAGTAACTCGCGGTGCCGTGACTCCATAACCCACTGCACTAACTTTTCCTCCAGTGCAGTTGACATGCTTTGGCTACCGTGTGCTGCCTTCTTGCCTACAGGCATTTTGATGATTCTGACTTTTTATAAGTTTTATGTAGATTCGTCGCAGTTAGACACAGATAGACAGCCACCACACATCCAGGATAGCGCTAGACGGCCGTTAGGTCCTATTGGGACTTGTCAATAGCGCGCACCCGCCGAATCCTACCGGATTCGAACCCACGACCTTACTCTTGCGAGTCAGCGACTTATGTCACTGAGACATGGGAGACGGCTGCGGGCCGCCATGACTGATATCTAACTGCGACATAGCGCGGCTCATCCTCCACTGGTTTGCACCTTGTGCAGAGGACAGGGTTGGCCCCCAGAGCAACGACTTCCTTTACAAGCCGCCCCCAGTCGAGATGGCACGTATGCTGCTAAGGCGACTACTGATTATTTGTAAGTAGTAGGGGATTTATTAGGTTTTTGTGTATATTCGTCGCAGTTAGACACAAACAGACAGCCATCACATTTCTTTTCGCTATTCTCTCATTTGCTTTTCATTCCCTGTGAAATGGCGTGCAGCCATACAATCATTAGATTGCTTGGCAAACGAGATAAGTCTCAATTTAATGCCGGCAGCATATGCACATCGCTTCCGTCCAGACATGTTTTACGTTTCCACGGATTTGGAAGATTGCATGAAATGTGAGCACATTCCCTCTCAGCTGGATCGTGTGACTTTGTGTTAGCGTTATTTTAGTTATCAAAGGACAGCGCTATGCTAGTCAACCTGGTGCATTAAAAGTACAACTTCGTCTCATTCCACTGGTCGTGAACTTACTTCTCACCTGCAGCCACTGTGATTCCGGTGCATGCGAACCCCGACTATGCGAGGCGGTGTCAGACATGCCCCCTTTCACCTTATCCCATTTTGTTGGTTGTCTTACCTGTTTCGTGTGACTTGACATCTAATCAATATACTGTCCAGTGCGGTTAAAAGCTTTGTTCCGACGGCTCGAAGCCCCATTAGCTGCCACCATAAGGCATTAGGTTGCCAGAACTGACCAATAGTAGAGCAGCTTTCGTTTGAGCACACTCAAGTGAGAGCAATTATTGATGAAATCAAAATGGTGCGAAACAATTTCGCTTCTCTTTTGCTGATTTTCTATGGATCTCTTACTACAGGGACTTAACAATTTGGACAAATTTAATAGTGCAAAGTTATACTGTCAGCTTATCTACGGACTGACTTATATTTGATAACATAGAGTAAATAAACCCTGGAACTTGAAAATGAGGCAGTTTGAGATAATAAAAGTTCGGATAATATATTGACTACAGCAAAATGAAATGTAACTCATAAAACCATTTCAGCCGTTATTCGTAACCTCGGTAGGCAGTCCAAGGGGAGAGCAGAGGAGTTACCATTTGACTACACTAATTTCTGTTCTATCATACTGGTTGGGCACGAAACGCCTGTACCTAACTCGTGCTATTCGGAGACACTAAATAAGTATACACTTCCGAGGTCCAACCAACTTGTAGTCTTCATAAGTGCTAGTCCAATTGTGCCTCGACCCAAGTTGAAACTAGAGGCAGCCTTATTTTCAACAAAATATTTTTACTACTGATGATCGAATGGTGGCAGTCGTCGTCACTATCCGTTTCATTACGTTCAAGCTGTACGTTAACCTGTGGCCTAATAACCAGCATGGCTTCCGTCAACACCGGTCATGCACCACCAACCTACTCATTGCAAAAGGTAGTTGGACGGAAGTGGCCGATGATGGCGTCGGAGTCGATGTCATCTATCTGGACTTCTCCAAAGCTTTCGACCGCCTTGATCACCGCATCCTACTTCAAAGACTACAGAGTTACGGAATCGGTGATCATGTACTTGGTTGGATTGGCAACTTCCTTTACCATCGAAAGCTTCAAGTACGTGTTAGTGGATCACTTTCTAACCCAATTGAAATGGAATGTGGTGTCCCACAAGTCTCATTGCTAGGACCGCGTTTATTTCTGGTATTTATCAATGACCTGGCAAGAGTCATCTCCTCAAATTTCCTGCTTTTCGCCGATGATGTCAAGATATGGCGGGCGATCAGTAACAAGCCAGATCAGGATCTGCTCCAACATGACCTAGATTGCATTTACGAATGGTCAAAAAAGAACAAGCTTCAATTGAACATAGCAAAGTGCAAAGTGATGCATCTGCGTCACCAGCCGGTGAGCGCTTACAAGATTGGAGACCACACCTTGGCGAAGATTTCTCAGGAGCGTGACCTGGGTGTATTGGTGCAGGAAGATCTCAGGTGTTCAAAACAAGCAGAGAAGGCGACGAGAACCGGGAATCAACACTTCGGCCTTCTTCGCAGAGCCTTCGGTCGGTTTGAACCATCAATCTTCCCAAAATGCTTAACGCCTTCGTGCGACCTCACGTGGAATATGCCATTCAGGTGTGGCAGCTGTGGCAGAAATAGGATCTCGTTGCTCTCGAGACTCCTCAACGCAGGGCAACCAAGAATGTCAGGGGCCTCTTTCATCTGCCCTATCAGCTTAGACTGAAATCTCTAAGAATCTACAGCAGTCGATATCGGCTTTTGCGGGGGGATGTCATAATGGTTTACCAGATTCTGGAGAACCCAAACCACATTTGTCGTCCGCTGCTGGAATTGAACCATAACACTAAACTAAGAGGTCACCCACTGTAACCGAAAATTCAGTCTAGCCGGCTTGAATGCGGTAGAAATTTCTTTTCACTCCGCGTGTGCCAGCCTTGGAACGTCCTCCCTAATTATGTCGTCTCTGCTCCCAATCTGGCGATATTAAAATAAACGTATTGACGGTGCATTGTCTCACTTACATTTCATTTTATGAATTATTAGCCAGGGGCTACAAAACGCAATCAAACGGTGTCTTGCTAAACGCCTAACCAATGGATTTATGGATTTATACGCTTGATATGCGAACATCTCCGCTATTCCACATGAGTCTATGGTGAGTGCACCACAATGCTTTTCACTTTATTATGCAATTGATTTTCACAATAATTTCCATCCTAAAAGACTTGTTAAGCAACGCTTTTTTACCCGTAATAAACCATTGTTCCATTGATCCATTGTAAACCTTCAACAACTATGCCTCGGATTCAAATCATAACTCAGCTCATCTCTATCGGAAGGGCACAACACGGAATGATACCGGTTGGCTGGGAGGGAGTTGTTTGATGGAGGAAGGCAGCTCCTAAACTCTCCGTCTAAGAAAAATGGTGTTGCAGCTAAAGTAAGCAGCATTCATCATCATCAACATTTATGAGTACATGAAAGACCTACCTAACTGCATCCCCACGCCTGAGTAACATAAACATCGACGTCATGAATGCTGTAATTCCATTAAACTATACTCCACTACTAAGAATAGATGGGACTGCGTCATTAAACGAACACAAATCTTCACAATCTGGAATGCCTTAATGTAGGTAAAATTCTGACGAAAAGTTTATTTGTCGGTTTTAGCAGCCAGAAATGATTGGATCTATCGCAAGCGATCTTTCTGCTCTAGCTGGTCAAACGTGCAAGTGTAGAACAGTTAGAAATCGAAAATATCATGCAAAGTCAGATCAAATTGAACACTTTCAACTGTCGTAGCTACAGAGATTGGCTCTAACGGAGAAACTGGTTGCTCATTCAGCACTGAAAATAACCCACCGATTCTGAACTCAAATCTATCTAAAATAAATTGTTCAGAGGTGAACTCACTGGCTTTATTTGCCAACAGGAATTTGAGAATTTTCGGGTTTCCCTTGATCGATGCGTAATGCAAAGGCGTTCGTCCGTCGGAATCACGTTGTTGCACCACTGATGGCGATCTCATCACCACATCCACCAGACCGTCAAAATTGTCGGAGTTGACATACTGTAAAAAGTGAGGCAGTTCAAACTTGATTTCAGTGCAAACCAGCAGGGATAGTTTGCTCACGCTAAACGATGTGTTGGGAGCTGGCACACCGCACCATACTTACAAACTCACCAAATGTACTCAGACAAAGCTATCGAACCCGAAGGAATTTACATCGTACACTGCTAAGCGATGTTTATACAACAAAGTAATCAGCATATACTCTAACAACGACTTTACCAAAAGGTCCTAGTGTTCCTAGTGTGATGTTGTAAAATTCCATTTGAGTTTTAATAACTTAAACGAACAATACTACCAACTTTTTGAAGTTAATGAGATACATATTTCACTTGTAATTGTGATTATTTGTTGAAAATACATGCCTGAACGAGTGGCTTCGTCAGTCACTAATAAAGGAACCTAGCAACTATACATACGAGTAACATTTGGACTAGGCGGCGAAAAATTAAGCTGGTTTTTCTAACTGTGGAGTCTAATGTAGTTCGTTAAGCAAATCTATTGAACATTTTGCTGAACTCAGATTATAGCGGTGAGCGCTAAGTGCTATACTTTTCTGTGTAGCGGTGTTTCTCCATGATACAACTGTTCTTTAGATCTGGAAAAGACACAAATTGCTGAAATCTACACTGTTATGAGTCAAAATCTCGCTATATCATATACTTGACTCTGAAATCCATACTGAAGTGGGTGCATCTGGTTGGCTGAACCCTGCAATACGTGTGAAATAATAATAAAACCATTACTGGTAACGTGTACGGAATTATTCTATCTTCTCCGCCTCTTGTGTTCAGCTACGCAGATTAGTTTGTGCTCTACAGCATACTAAGGCAAAGTGTACTAGGTTCGACTCGCTTATTTATAAATGCATCAGTAGTTGTCACTTATTTTGCAGCATTGTTGCCTTTTAGCTAACTGAATCCCGGATATTTTCCTACCACTCCTGTTTCCTCGTTGTGAGTCATGTTTTTTCTTTTGCAGGGGCAATTAGGCCGCAACACCGAGGCGCTGGCACCAAACGAGTTGCTACTGGTCATGCCATTTGGCTGAATTAGATCAGCATCTATCTAATTTCGTGCACTTTGCCGCATATGAAATGGTGTCGCTTGGGCTTCTGAAGTTCAAGCAAGCCAGCAAATAATTATCTTATGAGTAGACTCATTGAACTAGTATATCTTCATTTAGCATGAACAAGATGTTAGTTTGCCGTTTGCAAATATTGATGGAAGAATTTGTGCATACCATGCATGCCTGATTCATCGCGTCTTGGTCATGATGACGTGTTGTAATTTGCAACGTCAGATTTTCTGACGGCTCTACGCGGTTGTTAGCGCATTTACACAGACGTTTGCAAAAACAACCGAAGGCGTTGCGTCTTTCTGTTGGTTGTCGTGCGATCAAATCCCGGAGCGTATTGATGGCGTACTGCGTGATGGAAATGTCGGACTCTGTGTCAACGCTCTTCTTGAATGTCAGAGGAGATCGCAGATATTCAGGAACGTGTAGAATTTCCGCCATTTCGGACAAACTGCTTCGGATACCGGAAGAGTGCTTTTTGTGTGGTTGAATAGCTTCACACCTAGGAACTTCTGATTCCATAGCATTGGCGAAGTTTGTCCCGACAGTATTGGTTCTAGAAAAGAGTAGATGAAGGGAATCATTTAAGGATTGATGGAGTACCATTCAGGTCGCTTTCGAAACCATTTTTCGATGGGATAAGAGTAGCTTAGAGGACTATCTATTTCACTGATCCACTGAAACAAAGGAGTTTGCAATCCAGGAAGGATGAGTTGAGCAAAATTAAGATGAATTATCCAACAGCAGACCAACCGATTCTAGTTCTTCATGAATGTATAACTAAATCGACATTGGTATTGCTGTAGCCAATAAAGAAACTACAATATTGTTACGGTCAATGCCATATATACTAAGACGCAAAACTTTAAAACAGCCCAGGAGTAGCTCGTTCTCTGGGAGCCTCTTAGGGGATATTCTCAGTCACTGCACTTACCAGAACATCCCCTCTGACCGTTTGCTGAAAAACACTGCGAGATCGTTTTCACTAGTAAGCTATGGCACTCATCGAATCACAGTCAATGTAAGCTGGGAAATTTGCCCTGGCACGTGGAATAAAAGATGCTAGACAGTCAGCGCAACTATTCTAACAAAGCGTGGTACCAAAACCTCATGCTTGTAATGGATTAATTGAATGGCACAATCATATTACAATAGATGATCTGGTATCCATCATCAGTAAAGAAAATATTAACCCAACTTTGTTGTTGTAGTAGACTGGGGTGGACTAGATATCACCGGCTGTAAAACAGGCCATTATTCTTAACTTTCGCACTTCACTGTATGTTGTATGTTGTTTAGAAGATTAGGGAAACAGCTAATTTTGTGCAGAGTGAAATCGGCTGCAATTCTGGAGAGTGACTAGCAACAGGTAGCCATCATGATAGTAGAGAGCTTTCCCTGCCAACGTTATACCATTGTTAAATATCTCTATGAAAACTTTCACCAATAACCCAATCATAGTTGTCAGGGGATAAATCCAGATGGGAATGAGGTAAGTGGATGGCTTTCCGAACTACCTCCTCCTGGTACCAGCTGGGAGGTTCTGGTTTACCACGTTCCAGCAAATAGTTCGGTGGCAGTGTTCCAGTACGTGGTGGGCTTGCGCCTGGCAAGCGTTCTCTCTATAAAAAGCCACAAATCTCGGATTAAGAACGCTGTAACGTAGCCGTCGTGACTCGTCACAAAATCCGGATATCCGGATAATCCATTCCAACACACGGACACCAATCTTCTACTAACACAATGCCGACGATATCAAACATTCAAGAATGGAGTAGCACTATTACAAGCACAAACTACATAGCTACTCACACACACACAAGTACGTATTTACATACCCTCATACACAAACATACACTGTTATGACAAACATATCTGATTTTTGTACATTCTTGGTCATGTATTGTTATGTCTAAATGATCATGCCTGTAAAGGCGTGCCTTGTCGAGAATAAAAGCTTTATTTATTTATTTATTTGTTTAAGAGACATCTTGCTGCCAGTGTTCTGATACTGCTTCCCCATGTCTCCTAACGGTTCGTTGTAGTTTTGGGCCCTAATAACTGTACGGAAGTTAGTAGACGCTAGGCGTAAAATTTTCAAACCATGTTTCGCATAACCCTATGACGATTTAATGAAATTATCAGCCTTGAACCAGTGTCGAATCTTGGGAGCTACAACAATTTCCTTTTTAATCTTTGCTTCGCTGGTTTAAGGGAGTACAATTATGCTGAGATTAAAACGCTGGCGAAGGTCGGTTCTTATCTTTCACGAGGTTATTCATCAAATTTATTCTGATCTGCATGTGCGGTAGTAAGATTTTATAATCCCCAACCAGAGCTGGGTGATAGATACTCTATGCCCCAACATTTATAGTTTATCTGCAAGTCCGTCACGTCCCCGAATATTACAAATGCCTTTCTACGCTATCCCAAAAGCAAAGAAACTACAGTACACTATATATCCATGATGCATCCCCACTATGAGTAAAGATCTTCAGATCAGCACAACGATATCCGCTGTACCTTTTTATAATCAGTGGGAATCATCAAGTGCACTTTAAGTTAGCATACATTTCATTCATGCGGATAGTAGGAGGTGCTGGATTGGATGGAAACTGTTTTCCATCTTGCAGCAGTATCATTTTAATGGAAACTTCGAAACAATCTACAAATTGTCTCCATTCTTGTCGATCTTGAGTCAATTCTTAAGCACTTATGAGGTTTCTATAGTGGAAAAAAATACCAAATTGTCTTCCGCTCTGAAGAAAGGCTCCAAATGCGGATGGCGCTTTCGATATGAATTAATTCGGATAGCTTCAAGAAGAGCCCATTGCTGCAGTCTTTAATCCAGAACTTCTACCTTGTTCTTGGACAAGTCCAAAGCACAAAGGTGGTAATTAATTCCTTCTACGTTTTTCTTGTGAGGTTGATAATGTGACCTGGTGAACACCTGAATGATCACATTGTGACGGATCACGGGGAGTACAAGTCGACTCACTCTTGTCTTTATGAGCTGAATGCGGCGAATATTCTTTTTTATGTTCTGGGCTTTTTAAGTCTTTCACTATGATCTCATTATACTAAGAATGTTAGGACATAAATAAAATAACCTAATGATATTTCTATGCAACCGTGACACAAACGGTATCCCACGACCGTTAAAATAGCTTAAATGCTCCAAGTTGCCCACTGGGCTTCATATGTTATACAGATAATCTTAATGTACTTTCCCAGCAGCCTGGATGTAGCACCGCAATGCATAAGAATATTATACGGTAAGCCTTGTATCATGTGCACATAATGGCGTTATGCAATGTGAGGTAATATTGCATCATTTTATAATTATTTAGGGTGTCCTTGTCGTCCAACTAAGTAACTTTATACAGTGAAACATAGAAATGGTATATATATAAGCTACCTATCCAAAACGAATGCCATTCAAGTTTTCATGGCAATATTCGTTTTCAGCACATCAAGTTATTACAAATGAGGACATGTTTAGTCAGCTGTAATTTTACTATTGACCACGGTGACCAGCAGTTTTGTTGGCAGTTCTCGTGCTATGAGCTAACGTGGGTAGTGGTATGAGAAATATTGAAGAATGAAAGAGTGGATAACTCAAAAATGAAACAAAGTCGCATCGACGAAACGCTGCATGCGTTAGTGGACTTAACAAGAAGTCGAAGTGATCACACCGATTGTTTATATTGGTTTGATACCCAGTTACTAATGACTAAATCCCTAAGCTAAATGTGTAAGTGCGTTGTCAAGGTGTGTTTGAACATCGTTACTATAATGGAGCGGAAACAGCATAAGCAAATTGGTATTTTTCAGTTTTCTGTGGGTTATAATCCATGATCATTTCGAACCATCATCCGCAGACTACATTCTACAGAGACGCACTGCACAATCTTGCATCCCAGCATATACTCGTATCTGCCTTGACAATGTATGCTCAAGTTTTTACCTTTTGTTACCTTTAAATGAAGCAGCATCCAAGTCGTTTCTTCTTACATCCTGTCGAGATCTTCTTGAAATGTTTCGTATTGGCGTGCTGTCATGACAACCCACCACCACTACATATCAACATGAGGAAATGTTGCATGATGACGCTCGCGAGATCAATTCTATATATCGAGCATACACATTGACCTGGATTTTACGCTCGCAATACTAGAAATTTAACCTGAATTGAAGCGGGCAAGATGCTGCTAACTCTCGCATCAGATATGGTTAATGAACATCGTTAAATACGGAAATTGCTTTGTGCTTATCGACTTCAAAACCCGGTGTCTTGAAAGTGACAGTGCAGTGATTCAGTCGGTCAGGTGCTTTTAAGGAGTTCGGATAAGCTGCGTCAAGCTAATCGCTAAAGGTGAAATTACTATGCAGTCGGCAACTTAGACATCAGCATCGCAATATAAACGACCACAGCACCTAAGCCATTTCGTAGAAATATGATCTACTGACTGGTTGTGTCACTCCCTAGTCATACCCACATGGTTTCTTTCTGACCACGCTGTTAGGATTGCTCGCCCTCACACTGTGCAGTTTGTCAAAGGGCCACAACATATGCAGACTTGATCCATCCCATTGCGCCAAGAGTATGTCCGGCCTTGTCGTTCCTTTCATCCCATATTTGCCCTGAGACACATTACTCCGGCCCCCTTGCAACTACTCTAAGACCCAAGCACATTGGTTCCCTATTGCGCTGCAAAAGTGAACCAATCGGGCTTGGTTATCAGACCCAGGGAAAGAGCCGTTGGATTCCTCTCGCGGACTCGGTGTTGTGTGATCCTTTTGTTCGGTGACAAGTACTGTGAGTTACATTCCCGGTGTGAAATTCAATGACCCAGTTGTATCATGCTTGTATAGTACTGTTGAGGTATATCAATATGGTACCTTGATTTCTATTTGAACAGTACTGTAGTTGACTATTAGGTGTATTTTGGGGCTGAACCCAGGAGCTTTTACGATTTGTACATGCTTTAAGCAAAGTTTTCGCTTACGCTCATGCCTTCACTGACATTTTTAGTCTATCGTGAATTGGTATGTGGTTGGATTAGAATGTAACACCGTTTTCGGTGGAATTCAGACAATCTTCACAAACTGAGTTTAAATCTCCTTAAAAATGTTCCGTATGCTTCTGGTTTAACGGCGGCTATGAATATAAGAAGCATTGATAGTCTTTCCGTACCCTAGTTAAACATAAGTGCACCAGCTATGTCTTGTGAAAAGAAACAATGAACCTGCGCTTACACAGCGCGGGAATCAGCAGTCTGTATTAGAATCGATTCAAAGGCTGACAATACCGGCCCAGTATAATGCATTAGCGCCATGTTCAACACTACTGGGCCGATTATTTTTGCAACTGGGCAGCAGTACAAGAATAATGCAATTATTTGCATCAGAATATCTATGAATATAAAAACGTTCAGACACCAATCACTCCTGTTGGAGAAGCAAGGTTAATCCAATTAAAATGATTCACCACGACACCACCTGAACGTGGCAACATTCTG